ATGGTGATGGTAAAGATGATTATAATAGTAATGATGATAACAATAAGATTAAGAAAAAAGAAAGTCAACCAGAAGATACAAAAATAAGGAAGAGGAATAGAAGATGACAATACCAAAGAAAAGAAGAAGAAGAAGAAGAAGAAGGAGAAGAAAAGAAGGAGAAGAAAAGAAGAAGAAAAGAAGAAGATGAAAAGAAGAAGAAAAAAAGAAGAAAAAAGAAGGAACAATAAGAAAAGAAGACAGGAAGAAAAAGGAAAAGTAAAAGAAGAAGAAGAAAAAAGAAGAAAGGAAGAGGGAGAAGAAGAAGAAGAAGAAGAAGACGAAGAAGAAGAAGAAGAAGAAGAAGAAGAAGACGAAGGAGAAGAAGCAGAAGTAGAAGAAGAAAGAGAAAAAAGAAGAAGAAGGAAAACAAGAAGAAGAAAACAGGAAAAGAAAAAAAGAAAAGAAAAAAGATAAAAGACAACAAAACAAAATGACAGACAAAACCAAACAAAAAGCCCCCCCCCCCCCAAAAAAAAAGGAGCAACAGTCTTCACGCACCTCTCCATTCTCCACATTAATCCGATGTCTCTTGCAACAGCCGCTGCAACCACCTGTCTCCATCATTAATCATGCAACGGCAGGTAGAGCGAGAGAATTTCACAGGGATTTTCATTATGTCGGGAGACCTCGCTCGGGGATATTGCTTTATGGAGGCGCGTCCTGCTTGTGGTTTGAGGGAAGGAGGAAGGAGGAAGGAGGAGGAAGGAGGATGGAAGAGGGAGGAGGAGGAGGAGTAGGTGGAGGAGGAAAAGGAGGAGGTAGGGGAATTGGAGGATGGAGTAGGTGGAGGAGGGAGAAGGAAGGAGGAAGGAGGAAAAGGAGGATGGAGGAGGAGGATGGAGGTAGGTGTAGGAATATGGAGGAAGGAGGAGGAAGGAGGAAGGAGGAGGGAGGAAGGAGGAAGGAGGAAAGAGGAGGAAAAGGAGGAGGTGGAGGAAGGAGGAGGAAGGATGAGGGAGGAGGAATGAGGAGGAAGGAGGAAGGAAAAGGAGGAGGAGGAGGAGAAGAGGAGGATGGAGTAGGTGGAGGAGGGTAAGGAGGAAGGAAGAAGAGGGAGGAAGGAGGAGGAAGAAGGAAAGAGAGGAGGTAGGGGGAGGGAGGAGGAGGAAGAGGGAGGAAGGAGGAGGATGGAGTAGGTGGAAAAGGAAAAGGAGGAGAAAGGAGGTAGGTGTAGGAATATGGAAGAAGGAGGAAGGAGAAGGAAGGTGGAGGAAGGAGGAGGAAGGATGATGGAGGAGGAATGGGGAGGAGGGGGAGGTGAAAGGAGGAGGAGGAAGAAGGAGGAGAAGGAGTAGGGAAGGAAAAGTAGGAGGGAGGAGGAAGAGGAAGAGTAAGAAAATAAGAGGGAAAAAAGGTGAAGGAGAGGAGGAAGAGGGGAAGGAGAAGGAGGAGGGAGGAGGAAGAGGAGAAGGAGGATAGGAGGAAAAAAGGTGAAGAAGATGAGCCTGCAGGGAATTATTTAGTAAAGGAAGGAGAAGAGGGAACGATTAAGAAAAAAAGAAGAAGAGCACAAGGAGGAAAAAAAGGAAGCAAAGAGGAGGAGGAATAGGAATAGGAGGAGGAGGAGGAGCGTGAAAAGAGATTAAGAGAGCAGATGTTTCATTACTGCAAGATTATGGGATGGCCGAATAAAAGGTAGAGGAGGGGGAGGAGGAGGAGGAGGAAGGGGATGAGGAGAAGAGAGGAAGATGAGTAGGATGAGGAGGAAGGGGAGGATGAGGAGGATGAGGATGAGGAGAAGGGGAATGAGGATGATGATGAGGAGGAGGGGGAGGATGAGGATGAGGAGGGGGAGGAGGAGGAGGAGGAGGAGGAGGAGGAGGAGGAGGAGGAGGGGGAGGAGGAGGAGGAGGAGGAGGAGGAGGAGAAAGGGGATGATAAGGAGGAGGAGGAAGGGGAGGATGAGGAGGATGCGGAGGATGGGAAGGATAGGGAGGAAGGGGAGGAGAAGGGGGATGAGGGGAAGAGAGGAAGATGAGGAGGAGGTAGAGGAGAGGACGGGTCAAGGATGGGGAAAGAAAGGAAAAAGGAGGAAGATAAACAATAGGAGAGCAAGAAAGGGGAGAAAGAGGAAGAAGAAGAGGAGGAGGAGGAGCAATGAGAGGGGAAGGCAGAGTAGAAAGAAGAGGAGGGAGAGAAGAAGGAGGAAGAGGAGGAGGAAGGGGAAAGGAAAAATGAGACAGAGAAGGAACAAGTGAGAGAGAAGAGAAGGAGAAAAATAGAAGCATGAAACGATAATGGGAGAAGAGGGGAAAAATAAATTAACAAAAAACACAAACATTAAGAAATACGAAAAGGAGAAAACGCAAACGAATAAAAAGCAGGGGCAAAGAAGAGGAAAAAGAAGCAGTAGGCAATAAAGGAGGAATGGAGAATAAAAGAGGAAGACAAAGTCACAGCCACGTCTTGCATTCGCCTTGATCTTTGTCTGTCTGTCCGTACCACGTTTATTAATGTATATGTATGTTTTGATGATCTATATGCATGTATAATCTGCATACGTATCTACATATGTATGCGGAAGGTCCATCGTGTACGTGTATGAGTATGCGCCTGTGTGAGTGCGGAGGCGTACATACACTTACAGGGATTCTCTGCATACATGCAAGGGTATGTACACACGCAAATTTCTTTAAGGTTCTGAATGTAGCATAGCGTTAGAAGTTAAATCTGAGCACCAAACCGCGGTTCATTGCCATAGAAATCTTGGTAAGGACAGGATTTGATTTAGAAGTGGGATGAAGGGGATATCAATGTCCAGACATTATAAGCACACAAATACACACTCACTCATACACACGCACACACACACACACACACTCACACACACACACACACACACACACGCACACACACACACACACACACACACGCACACACACACACACACACACACACACACACACACACACACACACACATATATATATATATATATATATATATATATATATATAGAGAGAGAGAGAGAGAGAGAGAGAGAGAGAGAGAGAGAGAGAGAGAAAGAATGAGATAGATAGGTATAGACATATGACCTCTCAATACTGAATTGAGAGAGGCCTATGTCCTGCAGTGGAATGAATGGCTGTTGAAAAAAAAAAAAAAAAAAAAAAAAAAAAAAAAAAAAAAAAAAATATATATATATATATATATATATATATATATATATATATATATATATATATATATATATATGTATGTGTATATATGTATGTGTATATATGTATACATATATGTATATATATATATATATATATATATATATATATATATATATATATATATATATATATATATATATATATATATATATATAATGTGTGTGTGCATGTGTAGACACACACACACACATATATATCATGAAGGATATATAGTTTAATTGAAAGGTTGTGACCAATGACCTCGTGACAACGCGTAACGCAGCAATTCTGTTGCTGATTTTCCAGCAGCTGTCCCCAAGGAGCTAGATCCTTCACCTTGATCACTGATTGACTAGGGAGAGGTATTGAAGTAAGTTCCTGTGGCTTTCTTCAGCAGTAGTGTCTATATTCGGCGGGTGATCCTGACCACTGACCATGACGTGGTTCTTCTGCTCAGCATGTGTGGATCAACCACATTCATCACCTGCTAACCGTGTTGTAACGTATCCTCGATCGGGTTACCTATAAGAAGTCGAGGTGTTCCTTGCCCAGGGGAACAACGTGCCTGCCGGTGACTGATATATATGTACACACACACACACACACACACACACACACACACACACACACACACACACACACATGTGTGTGTGTGTACATGCGTATGTATGTATGTATATATATATATATATATATATATATATATATATATATATATATATATATATATATGTATGTATATATATATATATATATATATATATATATATATATATATATATATAAACACAGATACATAAATACACCTACACATACATACATACATATACATACACACACAAAAAAACACACATACGCACACACACGTGTGTGTGTGTGCATGTATATATTCACAGGGAAATAGAACAAGACAATACAAGAAAGACATGAATGTTGAACTTGTTTTTATAGCCAATCCTATTCATCAACGAAAACAAATACCCTTGGCAACAACAAAATTGCACCCCGTACTGAATATTTGAATACAATAGCAAACAATGAATAAGACAGCCGGTAGAAAGAAAAAAAAGGGAGAGAATGAGAGTAAATAGGCAGAAAAATAAGAGGAATACACATCAAGAGAGAAGGGTCGAGGGGGGGGGGGGCGTGTTCTCACTGAGTTGAAAATGTATATCCCGGAAACAAAGAGAATATTACATATGAGAGCACTGGTGTATATAATTGTATGTTTATGAATTCTGTTACTGAATGGATGATAGAGATTCGTCGTTTACCATGCAAATTGAAGGCAAGATTTACCTAAAAGCACTGAAAGCAGAAATGAATGAGAGATTAAGTATCCCCTTTGTTCATCAACCTCATTGTAACTGGCTATCAAGTTTTAAATGGAAATCATGGCTGTGAAGCTAACTTTTTTTTAGAGTGCTTAGTTAATTCGATAATTAATGATCATGATGAAATATGATTTACTGTTTCGGAAAAAAAAAATAGCAATATATAGCTACTGGTTTTCTGTAAATTGTCGAACCATTTCAGTACCATTATCAACCATTAACAGGTTTAAATGCTTAGTTAATTCGATACTCAATGAAAACTATGAAATATGATGTTTATTTTCGGAAAAAAATATAACAATACATAGCTACCAGTCTTCTATAACGTATCGAACCAGAGCATCATCAACCACTAGTAAGTACCAACATCTTATTCCATCATAAAATCATCAATTTGCCATCGGAACATGCAATCAATGAACCCCCATTACCGGCCATGACCTAACGAGTCAGCAAAGACAGCAGAGTCGATTGGATTATGTTAATGCCGAAGACAGTGCAGGTTCTTATGCAAATCCAAACGGCCGATGTTAATGCAAGATCCGAGCTTAGCAACGCACAGCATCAGACCAGCAAACACTTAGTTCCCTTTAGGGCCGCGGCTGTCCCGTGAGAAAGCGCGTGGTTTGAAGGTAGCTTTGTTCAGGTCAGGAATGTGGTCGTTTTTGAGTCCTCGCTGGCTCATCTGTTGTCCTTCCTCTCTTCGTGTTTCTCTCTCTTTTTGGTTTTGTTTGATTTGTCATTTTTCTTTTGATTTGTCATTTTTCTTTTCGTTTTTTCTATCTTTCTACTTTTCTCGTTCTTTTTTTTCTTTGAGCCAGTCTGTCTGTTTGTCTGTCTGTCTGTCTGTCTCTCTCTCTCTCTTTCTCCCTCTCCCTCCCTACCTCCCTCCCGCCCCCCCCGCTCTCTCTTTTTCTCTCTCTTCCTATCTCTGTCTCTCTGTTTTCTGTCTATTTATCTGTCGGCCCTACTCCTCTCTCTTTCTCTTTTACTTGTCTGTTGCTTTCTCTTCCCTTCTCTTTATTTCTCTCTTTCGCCTTCTTTTTTCTTCTCCATTCTCCTGTCTCTCCTTCCCTTTCCTTTCCGTTTGCTTCTCTCCCTCTCTCTCCTTCTTCCTCCTTCCTCCATTTTTCTCTACCTTTACTTTTTCTCTCCTCTTCCATCTCCCACTTCACTTTCCCTTACCTGTATTTAGGCCTGAAGTTTGATGGTAAGAAATAACTTAATATATCTCTTTGCTGTTTTATCATCGTTATCTTCTTTTCCTTCGCCTTATCCCTTTTATTTTGATTATCCATATAATCATCTTTAAGTTTATTTATTTTCTGTTCGTTCGTTAATAATTTTCTAATAACCGTTTGTATTGTTATTGTTTTACATTTCTTGTCATTCCTTTTCCACCGTTTTCTATTTCATCGGATATTTCTTGCCATATCAGATTTTTTTTATTATTATTAGTCGTATTCAGTCAATATTTTGGTCTATACTTTACTCTCCTCTTTTCCTTCTATTTTTCTTTCTTTCCTTTTCTCTCTTT